CCCCCCCCCTTCCCCTTCCCCCACCACCACAAGGGAAGGTATATAAGGACTGCCCCCACACATCGGAGCTCAGAATCGGAGCTCATAGCCCTGAAGATGCAGACTGCAATGTTTGCGAAACGTCGGCGCAATGCTGAAACTCAACGCGGCATTCATCCGGAAGCCAACCAAGTCAAGTTTGATGTTCATCACCATTATCAACCAGGGCAATGTCTCCGTGTTATGAGGGTGTAGGCTGTTGTATTTGAAAGGTTAAAGCAGCTACGTTGATTGTATGAACAGTTTCATCGATCGAATTAGACTGTTGCGGTATCTGCATCGATAGCGCTGGATTGGTAGGATGAGTCAACTGAGCGTGAGTAGCATTCACCGTGATATTACCCTGTTGTATTGATTCTGGCTGAAGTGTTAGATCAGTTGGAGTGGGCGCAATCCCACTTACTGCACTCGGCTGATCAGTTCCTACACTATCACCCTGGTGTAATTGGCCATGCTACACAGAACTAGTGGAAGTGTTCACGGTTGCATTGAATGCACCAGGCTGCTCCTGGATAAATGCTGGTGGAGCTGGTTGGATTCACAGAGGTGAACATTGGGAATGTTGATTCAAATCTTGGTGCTGCGATTTAACGGGTTGAGGCGTTTTCAAAATGGAAAATACGGAGCTGCTTGGGGTTGCTCCGTTTTTGCCGGATCAGTCCTGTGAGAAGAATGACGATCTATTGAAGTAGTATTCCAGTTTACAATTTGATAATGTAATATCAGTGAATTGTTAATGGCAAACGACCAATTACACAGAATATATATATGGGGTATTCCAAGTGAAATAAATGAGGGCAAAACCCTTGCCTAATTCTACATACGCGATATTTTTTTCTCGAAATATATTCATCTCAAAATGACCACTGATTTTTTCGAAGATTTTTTGGTATATGATCTCAGCAGTTATGATTTTTTTTCCTTATTTTGTTTGAAATGACATAACTCACTCAAAAATGAAGCGATTGGAATGTTTTTTTAAACATTTATTTTTAATGGAGTTTTTCATTCCATCACAGGAATTTTTTTTTGTGCCTCATTACATGGAAAATTTTGAAAAAAACCTACGAAAATTGATGGTGTTTCAAGTTCGACCCGATTTAAAATTCCCAAAAAATTAATTACATTTGAAATGATAAAAAACGAGGAAATCCCAAAGGGGAAAATTGGCCTCCAATTATATGTTATAGTTTCGGTCATTTTCCGTATGGAAGGTGATTTGTCAGGTTTTCAGGTCGCTAAATAATTACATGAATGGAAAATAAAATGTTTGTCTATGTTCAGTATGAGAAAAAGACTATTTTATTTTTCTAATTAAACGAGTTCAAATATTACACTGAATTGCCGCTTCACGGACCTATTGGGGACGCTTAATAACAAGACGCCCTCTATGAATGACTGCTTTAAGGGTGCACATCTACGATACACACGCAAATGGGGGCTTGTGTGAGCGCGTGTGTGTATACCTCTTTGACGGCCATATTGGCAAAAAACAGCGCCCTCAACGATATTTCCTGTTCCCAATAGACAAATAACAGGAAATGATTTGATTTTATCAATTCGTGAAAATAATTTCACATTCAAAATTCCCAACTCCTTTGGAATGATACAGGGTTACTTATGGGTTCTAGGTAGTGGCCTAGCACTCAAGAAACGACTTCTCAAATCATCGATAGCTTGTTCATATTCCTCTTTAGGGATATTTTCAGCTTTGAGATGAGTAAAATGTCTTGAAGCCCATTCATAAAGTTCATATGGTCTTGTGATTTGACGAGAAGAAGGGGTGGCCCCCATGACCGCCACTTTGTTAGTGACATATCCATAGAAGCGCCAAAATTCAAATATACTCATGGTCCATACAGCTCCGTCAAGCCAGGTAGCCAAGGTGCTCGAATCGACTCGGTCAATAGCTCGAAATTACATGCTTTTTATAAGCTTTTTTTCTGAGCAAACCAAAAAATTTCTGCTCAAATATTTTGGGCGTAAAATCGATTTTTCGGATTTGGGCGTTAAGGTGGGCGCTCAAGTCATCAGAATTGGCTCGAAAACCTCGCTGAGATATCTTTTGATTTATAAGCTAATTTCCTGTGTTGAGAAAACTATGAAAATCCCCATTGTTCCGGGAAATCCTATATGGGCTGGAAAATGGGCACATCCAAGGTCATTACATAGGCCTGCTGTCTGGCCCAGAATTATCAGCTATTATAGTTATAGTTATAATTATAGTTTATTGCTTTTTGAGAGAATACAATGCCCTCTTGTAGTAAGGGGTAACGCTTATCCATAATTTACAAAAATATATATAAAAAAAGAACGTTAATGAGAAAAACAAATCAAAATGAATCAGCCAAGTACATGGAATGTGCCAAAATTCAAGAATAGATTATGTTCACAGTTGCTTTATCCGAAATAAACCATTGTCCAGAGTAGTGAATAGCCATAGGAATTGATGACTTTCAAATGACGTACCCAATCGACCTGAATGCACATTCTATTGGCAGAGCTACAACAAATTAAGTCAGAGATTATATAGGCAAAACTTTAAGCAAAGCTAATACAATGTATTCTAGATGTTTTTTTTTTTTTCAATTAGAAGAATTGGTAGGACTATGGGAGGGATTGGTGTAAATTAGTCGGCAAGGAGGGGATTCAACAGCGATGCTCTGAGGTCCAGTGCTTTAATGACGAAAATAGCAAGGTTGCGGAGGTGGCCCAGGGAATTTACTGATAGGAGGGAGATGAGGTGGATTTGTTTTGGACGGTTGGCTAGGATATCTCCCAAATATTTTCCCCTGATGTCCTGGTACGTTGGGCATTCTAGCAGAAGGAGGTTCACCGTCTCCGTTAAATGTGATGAGCAGGCCGGGCATGGCGTACAGGGAGAGAGTTTGTATGTGCTCCTCTGCACACATATTCTGCTGACATAAATATTGGCTAGTCTTAGTTGGATGACGATCCTGGTGAAAGTGATGTTGGAGCGCAGTTTCAGGTATTCTGCAGTATTATCTGAGTAAGATCTAATTAGGTCGACTTGTGAGCTGGATGACATCAGGAAATCAAGGTAGTCCTTTTGCTTCATTCGTAGTTGAAGAGCGTTGATGAAGTCGGGCCTCTTTGCACACCAGTAAGCTGGATCTAAGTTGTCTAACATGTGGTCCATGTCAATTTCGGCGAGGATCTCCTTTACATTTGCTACCCAGTTGAATTTTTTTGATACAAGCTGGGGACTTAGAGAGCCGAATAAGTTCTACTAGGCAAATGAAGGGCCAGCTGTTTTGCCTCATTTGACAGATCCTCACGATCCAATCCCACACCATCGTCAGAGCCTTAACAGCTAAGTGGGGGATACCCAATTCCAGACGTATCAGATAACCCGCCGTGTTCCTTGGTAACAAGAAAATCTGCTTGAAGAAGTCAGTTTGCACTGACTCAACAGTGTCAAGCCCTCCGGGACCCCAAACTTGTATGCCATACATCAAAGTAGATGAGACCAGGCTGTCAAACAGCCTGAATCTAGACATCCTCTGCTTTGGTCCTCCGCAAGATTGAGTTGGTCACTCCCATTGCTACTTTGGCCTTCCGTATGGAATTTTGAGAGGCTAGCTTACCTTGCATAGCACTGTCCATTTCAATCCCAAGATATCTGTAGCTGTTCACTGTATTCACAGGCTGCCCTTTGTAGTGAAAAGCTCCCCTGTCCCTGTTCCAAATCCTACCACTGGCTCTGCAAACCATCACCTCCGTTTTATCCGTGTGCACCACAAGTCCCTTTCTATCAAAGTATTCCGGCATCAGTCGCAGGACACGGCGAGTTTCCGCTAGCGATCTTGCAAAGATCACTGTGTCATCGGCGTAAAGAAGGGCAGTCGAGTTCGTGCTTCCGATATCTAGCCCCGTGATGCCTTTGCTTTTAAGAAAGTCGTTCAGGTCCGAGATATATGCAATGAAAAGCAACGAGCTCAATTTATACCCCTGGAGGACACCTTCCGTTACCTCAAAATTTTTGGTAAACCCGGAGTTGGTTCTGACTTTGAGGCATTTTCGTAAATGTTCCGCAGAAGTCTGAGAATTTTGCTGCTGACAACCATATGAAATAGTTCCTTCCACAGCAGATGATGAGCGATGGACTCAAAAGCTCGGCGAAAATCGATGAAAATGCAGTACACGGCATTTCCCTGAAGCCTAATTTCTATCTATATCGCTGCATGGAGGGTAAAAGTTTGGTCTAGACATCCCCTACCACTTCTAAACCCTGCTTGTTCCTCTGGGAGAAGTCTGCATGATTCCATCCAAGTCTCTAAACGTTTCTGAACGATCCCTGTCAAAAGTTCGAGCGAGTTGTTAATGAGGGCAATACCTCGGTAATTCCCGGGGTCATCTGCGTTGCGTTTCTTGAACAGCATGGAGATAGCTGCTCCCGACCACTCTTCAGGTACCACACCAGTATTCCAAGCCTGATTTAAGATTGACGTGAGAAAAACGATATGAGACTCTGTGAGATTTTTGAGGAATTCATTCGTTATTCCATAAGGACCTGGTGCCTTGCCAGGTTTACTGTACTTAATAGCTAGTTTCACTTCTGCCAGTTCAATGTTTTGATCCAGATCCGTGTGCGTGACGTCTGTGAATAGCGTAGTGTCCAAGGTGCGGGGAGGATACACTTTGTTGTAGAAATGTTCCCAGGACTCTTTGCCAATGCGATTAATGATCGAAGAGGATATCCGGACTGATCTAACTGTGCTCCAAAACTGCAGAGTTTTTAACGTTCGCAATTTTATCTCTTATTGCCCTGGTGTGTATCTTTATTTTGTTTCTGCGACAATTTCTGTACTCCAATATGTTCAGATGAAACTGGGCAATCAAATCAGCATCCATGTAGCTCGATCGTCTCAGTAATCGTTGTGATTTGTTCATTGTAGCCTTCTTAACTCTGTATTCGCTGTCTTCCCAAGGCTTGCGTCTGGGCTGAATGCCTGGCAGGGCGGCTGTGTTTCGTGCAGATGTCATTCCAGCATGGGCTGCAGCCTCGATAATGCAAGTGTTCAGTAGTTCTGAATTTCCGGATGAATCCACTATTTCTGATTTTAAACGATTAGCGTTATTTATCAAGAATTGTATGTATTCTTCTCGAGATTCATGATTCCATCTAAGGTTTTTTATAATTGTACCTGGTTGGTTATTCCATGTAGGCCGTCCGGAGTAACCCCTGAACTTGACCGATGCGGACACTGGAAAGTGGTCAGAGTTGAAGGAAAAATCGTTGATAGTCATGGAGTGCACTATGCGTATCGCCTGTTGATTACCCCAAACTAGGTCAACCGTACTCAAGCCCTGTGCTCCGCAGAATGTGAAATTCCCCTCTTCGTCTCCAGGTGATCGTCCATTCATGAGGACAAACCCATTGTCCAGTATGAACTCCAGCAACATTTTCCTCTTGATTTTGTGGGAAGGCGTTCCCTGGTCCCTCGAAATTCTATAGCTAGAGAGCATAGAAGCCCTGATCAATTCCTGGTCCACAAATTTATCCAGATCCGCAATTCTGCAGTTGAAATCGCCACCTAGAAATACCGCATCATATTGAAAATTGACTTGACAGAAGGATAGAACAAGCTGGAGAGCATCCAGGACCGATAAAATGTCTGACAGAGGAGAAAGGTAAATTGAGCCGATGATGGCATGATTGTCACCCAACTTGATTCGACTGAATATCCAGTTTAGAGATGAAAATATTACAGTTGACTCCAAATTTTTCCGTATCATTACCACCATTCCCCCACCACCTCTTCCCCTGGTTGTAGCAGTGTCCCTCGAAGCAGGCACCCAGAAGCACCGATAGTCATTTTTCCAGGGTAAAAAATCGTCAGGAATAAATCGTAACCAGGTCTCACTTATGCCCATGAAAAAAGGTTGGAATTTTAGTGATAGATTAGGTAGGTTAGGGAGTCCGTGACAGTTCCAGAACAGAAAATGGGAACTGTCACAAGCTCCGTCTCCTAGTTTTTTCTTTGAGAGTCTAGATCAGGAGAAGCAGAAGAGTTTTGTAGTCGAGAGCTCAAGGCTTTCTCCACCAATACATTCTTCTTGCGATCCCAGTAAATATAATAGTTGTTCAAATAAATGTTGTTCTTATAAATTTTGACCACAGAGCCCTTGGCAATCTCCTCTCTGGCTTTCTGCCTAATAAGGAAGGCCCCATATTTCTCTTTTTCTGTCAGATCGTTATTGATATATATGTTTCGTCCCTGCAACTTCTCTCTTTTTAGCTTCATTACTGTAGATTTATCTTGACTTGAGCTGAATTTGACTAATAATTGATTTTGTTTTCCTACCTTGTGAATGGTAAAACATGTAGGCTGAAGTTTAAATGTGGTGGCAAGGAAGTGGTTCGCCTTCTCGATCACGTCTGGTGATGCAGTTTCAAAGCCGCTGATGATGACATTGTTCCTACGGATGAAGCTGATTTGTGAATCCAGTGTAGCAGATATTCGATTGATCTCCTCACGAAGTCTAGGGTCCTCAGCATGATTAGGCAGAGGCTTCTCCAATTCGGAGACTCTGTTGAGTATCTGAGCGATGACAGGATGCTCCTCTAGGCTAGCAACATTAGAGTCAGCATTTCCCAATTTTTTTATTTTTTTTTCAATTTTGTCGTGTTTGCCAGCCAGAAAATTGACTTTCGTATTTATTCTTCCAATTTTCTCGTTGACCTCTTTGAGACCATCAGTCACTACCTTATTTAGGCGCTCCTCTCGTTCAGCATCATTTTTTCTCGACAAAATCAACTGCTCTGCCAGCCAAGTGAATGATTGAGCCAGGGTTTGAGTAGTAAAGTCTGGAATTTTCACTGATGCAAGTGGGGATGGAGGACTCGGAGCACTTGAGAGAATTGAGTTCTGGCTGTACGATCTAGGAGACAATTTAGTTGGGGTATGGGAGTCAGAGTCAGATTCAGGGCTAGATAGATTGAGAGTAGATTTTGCTCGTTTTGTTTCTTCAGGGCTACCTGTTTCCTCACCCAACTTAGATTGCCTGGGGCTTCGTTGTCTTTTTTTCCCCGAAAGACTGTTCACCTCAGTTTTCACTGGCAGGGTAAAATCACTCAAAAGACGATGCAAGATTTCAGGTCTGACACTTGTCACACGTTTGGACATACTTTTGGAACGCCCGAAGTGAAATGACCTGACATAACCCCCTAACCTCACTTATGTAATGGGAACAACTTAGAGTAAAGTACTAGGAATAAGTTCAGTTTTTATTTATGTACAAACTGACTGAATATTTATGTATGATTTTTGGTTGTCATAACCAGATTAAAGCAACTTCCAAACTCGCAAAAGTGAAAATAATCTGGAGATGCAGAAAAACACGTGTTGTTCCAGTCGAATCGCGCATGCGCCCCCGAATTATCAGCTATTTATCAGCTAATTTTCTGTGCGTAGCAAAAATTTTCTGCTCAAATATTTTGGGCCAAAAATCAAACTTAATCGCTCAATTTGTCAAAATGGGCTAGAAAATCAGCCTGAGGTATCTTCTGATTTATAAGCTAATTTCCTGTGTTGAGAAAATCATGAAAATCCTCATTTTTTCGGGAAATCCTATATGGGCTGGAAAATGGGCACATCCAAGGTCATTACATAGGCCTGCTGTCTGGCCCAGAATTATCAGCTGTTTATAAGCTAATTTTCTGTACGAAGCAAAAATTTTCTGCTCAAATATTTTGGGCCAAAAGTCAAACTTAATCGCTCAATTTGTCAAAGTGGGCTAGAAAATCATCCTGAAGTATCTTCTGATTTATAAGTTAATTTCCTGAGTTGAGAAAATCATGAAAATCTTTATTTTTTCGGGAAATCTTATATGGGCTGGAAAATGGGCACATCCAAGGTCATTACATAGGCCTGCTGTCTGGCCCAGAATTATCAGCTATTTATTAGCTAATTTTCTGCGCGAAGCAAAAATTTTCTGTCCAAATATTTTGGGCCAAATTCAAACTCTAAGATTTGGGCGTCTACCTAATCGCTCAATTTGTCAAAATGGGCTAGAAAATCAGCTTGAAGTATCTTCTGATTTATAAGCTAATTTCCAGCCAATATGGGATTTCCCGGAAAAATGGGGATTTTCATGATTTTCTCAACACAGNTCAAACTCTAAGATTTGGGCGTCTACCTAATCGCTCAATTTGTCAAAATGGGCTAGAAAATCAGCTTGAAGTATCTTCTGATTTATAAGCTAATTTCCAGCCAATATGGGATTTCCCGGAAAAATGGGGATTTTCATGATTTTCTCAACACAGGAAATTAGCTTATAAATGAAAAGATACTTCAGGCTGATTTCTTAGCCCATTTTGAATGTCCATAAAGTTAGCGGAGCAAGGTCAAAAAATGGTTTTTTTTTTGGTCAAATTTATGTGCTTTTTATGTTTTGTGGTGCTCGAACAAAAAAAAATGGTGCTCCATCCCTTCGGGAATTAGGGGTTGTAATGATTTTTCTTTGGCCTCAACAAATACTCAATAAACCCTAACCCAGAAGTCTCGATTATCCAAACACGGCCAACTCATTACCTTCGTTCTCGTAATCCGACAAGTCTGAAACGCCAAAAACCATAACGCTAACACTGGACTTCGGGGACAATCAGCAGCTCATCCAATCCTTATTTCGTGTATTTAGGGCGCCAGCCGATTTTTAGCAACGCGGAATCGACAAACCGCAAACGGAACCGTATTTTCTTAAAACTNGGTAAGGGGTAGAAAATAAGGAATAGTCGGAAAAAAATTATGCCATAATTGTGTGCTTTTTACGTGCTTTCGGTTACTGTGAGAGAACAGGCACGATGGGGGCTGATTTGGGAGAAATAGCCCTTCTAGGGGAAAATTACTTTTAGGGGTTGAAAGCCAGGATTAATGGTAACAGCTATAAACCGTAGGCCATGATTATGTGCTTTTTATGTGCTTCAAGAAGAAGGCGCAGAAAAAGGAGTGAAGAGGCCCGCATGAGGAAAACCGCCCATTTAGGGGAAAATTCAATTAGGGTTGAGTAAAATAATATTGGTAATTAAAGCGTCGTACTATGAACTACAATTATGGATTTTTTATGTGCTCCAAAATCATTGATCGAAATAATGGAGAAGATGGAGCCTATTGGAAGAATCGACTTCCCACGGTTCAATTGAGGGCGCAAATGAGATATCCCTGGCGTTATTATTTTTTTCGGTTTCGATACATCATATCAAGAAAAAAAAAACGTGTTTTCGAATGTTGACGCCGACAATATTCGTGCTCCATCCGGTAGCTGGAAAATACCCCCACGTCAAGCGGAATCGCTCGAAACGTTTATGACGTGACCCAAATGGTTTCCAATGTAACTTTCTACACAAAAAACAATATCGATGGATTTATACCTGAATTTTCATGATAATGAAGGAATTAGGTATACGGGTAACCATCAGAAACTTTGCCGCGATCGCCATTTTTTTATTTGGGACACGATTGAGTCAAAAAAATGTGTTTTCGAAATTCGCCACTCGAATTATTCGTGCTCCTCATTTTGTAGAAGCAAGGTCTTCAGGTCGACCTGATGTGATTGTAACACATCATCTCATGGGACACTTTGTTTCAAAACATTATGTGCTACACATCGGGCGAAGCAATTAAATTCGTGCTCCAATCCCTCCCATCGTGGACAGATCAGGTACACTGATGACCGTCAGTGTTTTCAAAGTCCGCCACTCAAATTATTCGTGCTCCTCGTTTTGCAGAAGAAAGGTCTTCAGGTCGACCTGATGTGATTGTAGCACATTATCTCATGGGACACTTTGTCCCAAAAAATTATGTGCTACACATTGGACAAGGCTATTAAATACGTGCTCCACCCCCTTCCATCATGGACAGATCACGTACACTGGTGACCATCAGCAACTTTGCTGTGGTCGCCATTTTTTTTTACGGCATCAATCAGACCGAAAAAAAAGTGTTTTTGAAATCCGCCACTCGAATTATTCGTGCTCCTCATTTTGTAGGAGCAAGGTCGTCAGGTCGACCTGATGAGATTGGAGCACATCATCACATGGGACACTTTGTCCCAAAAAATTATGTGCTACACGTTGGGCAAGGCTATTTAATTCGTGCTCTAGTTCCTGTCATCGTGAATAGATCAGGTAGACTGGTGACCGTCAGCAACTTTGTTGCCATTCAAGAGCTGTTTAACCCTAAACTGGTCACCATGCGGGGGAAATGCCGCAACAAGTCGTTTTATTCACCGTGCTATCGACTGGTTGACCGGGAAAATTTGATAAAAATTGAATTCGTCAATTGAAGCATCTGGAAAATTCTCGTATTTTTTTTTCAATATTGTATCCGTAATTCTCGGAGAAAAAAAATTATTTCCTACAGGTGAACAATTTTTTCCCGTGTTAAATGAAATTGCCTGTTGCGTGATGTTGCTGGGAACTTGCTAAACGCGCCCGGGAAGTGTGGAGTGGAGTCGGCAACGCTGGAGCCTAAATAACACGGCGGTACTCTTCCGCGAAGGTGACTAAAGTCGCATTTTCCCGTCAGGTAACCAGACTAGGGCTCAACTCAGCAGTGTTTCTCTTCGAAATATCTGGAATGTCATCTGGAGTAGGGACGGCCGTATCAGGCTCAATATTGAAACGTAAAAATCACTTGTGACGAAATTCCAGGCGAATTCGTCACTTGCGGAACTCCAGGGTTTTTATGGATAGAAAGAAAGAGGGAGAGAGAGAGAGAGAGTAGAAATTTATAAACCGTTACCTTTTCTTCGTAATAAAAATCTATACGGAAAATTAGAGTTACCTGCTACCTTAACTCTACTTCAGAGCTACCTTAAGTTCGGAGAACTAGTTAAATTGGTTACCTATTGCGTGAATCGATTCCGTACATTTTTAGAATAATATTCATTAAATAACTTCATTAAATAAACCAGAAATTTTGCAGATATTTTTTTCGAGTCAGTTTTGTTGACTTAAAGTTTAGTATTTTTGAGATTTTCTTACGTAAATTCGGTTAAGGATCAGGATATCACCGTGGAACATTTGACCAAGATAATGTATTACCTAGTGTTTCCTGTAACCCTTTTGGTTTGTCGGTAGAGTGAGTACATAGGTCGGGTTGAAATACTTGCGCTCCCTTGAGCGAGAGTGTTAGAACTTTCAGTTGGAAGGCCATGGAGGCGATTGCCCAGTCGTCGAAACGGATCGCAATTGGGTTCTTAATTTAGTTAAGTTTGCGTTTGCGTTTGAGTTTTCGTTGGTAAAGTCGAAATTCCTCTCCGGAGAGTGCCCTCTGTAGATAAGCTATCTTATTCCGGTCGTAGATGGAGTGAAAACCCGCTCAGCCATCTCAGTTTCGCGTTGAGTTCAAGTAATTACAGTTTTGTTCGGTTAAAATAATTAGAATCAATTATATGAAAATTTAAATTTAAATCTTTAAATATTTCGCGCACAATTACCCCGGGCATCAATAGTTCGCATCTCCAACACTCGAGTCAGTACCGTACGGGGCTAGTCTCCCCCAGACTCCCTACCACTATGCAACAGGCCCGAGCGGACACACGCGATAGTCGCCATTACAGTGTTCACCCGGACTATCATGTGTGAGGTACCTCTCCGCGTTGCTCCCTTACGGAAATTAGTTCGGAATTAATCATCGAGGCTAATCAACCCAATTCCCGTCGAATTCAACGCTCCAGACTATGGTAAGTACCCGTGTACTTGTTTAGAGGTGATTAACAGTGAATTAGTGCGGTTTTTCGGAAAAGCGATTGGACTACGCGGGATGGCGTCGCTACCTCTCGGAATGACGCCAACACCGATATTCATGGTTTGAGGGGTAGAAAACACTTCAAACTAACCCAAATGCTCCCTGGAAGCTACCTGAAATTATCTAATAAATAATTATGCTACCTGAATAAATCAAAATATTAATAATGCTACCTACCATAACGTTTGTGCAAAAATTCATGCTTTATGCGTCTCGCCACGGCGATTGATGCAACTCGCTACCTGCTTTATTGCTACCTTTTTTGCTTGCTACCTTTTCTCGCTCTCTTTACGTAATTATTCTACGCTACCTATTTCTTTTTTATTTCTCCAACTCACAAGAGTTTTGGAGGAAAAATTAGGTTACCTGAATTGTTC